CCCCCCCCCCCGGCTGTCTGGCCCCCTCCGGACCAGCAACGAGTTTGCAGAGACAGACGTGTCTGCACGTGCGTGTTTGGGGGTGAGGATACGTGTGTGCGCGTCCGTGCACATGGCGGGAGCTGTGCGCTTTCCCACGCTGGTGGTGCAAACTAGCCACAGTGCTCCGCCCTTGGGAGTTTTTTCACAGATGGGGGGACCCTCTCTGGCACCACGCGGGCGGCCCCCGGGTTCCTTCGCATCTGCACCGGCAAGGGCCTGGGCTTCACCCTCAAGTAAGAGGGAGCCACTCGTGGGTCAGATCTGCTGTGGGGAGAATGATGGCAGGGGGACCGGACCGGAGGCCGCTGTGGTGACACAGGCAGGACAGAGAGGCAAGGCAGCACAGTGGTCAGGAGCTCGGCCCCTAGGCCTCCACTGCCAGGGCGCAGGGTCCCAGCTCCGCCATTTACTAGCTGTATGACCTCGGACAAGATACTTAACCTCTCTGTGCCTCAGTCCCCCCAGCTGCCGGCTGGAGAGAATGCTCACAAGGTTGTGGTTTGGCAAAGAAATAAGAACGCTGCCTGCAGTGGTATTTGTCGCCCCCCAAAGTGCGTCCCCATAAACGAGCGGTGGGGCCCCGCGTGAACACCATGGGGGCTTCCCGGGGTGAGGCCAGGAGTTCCGGCCAAGCCCAGTCCTGGCCTCCCAGAGGGTTTGGGGGGAGCAGCCACTCACCGCGGTGCACCCTGGGGCATCTGATCCTTGACTCGGAGGTTTTTGGCCAGAATCTCCACCCTGGGTCCCTGGGAAGAAAGAAGGAGGCTTGGGACCTGCCTCTACACAGAGTTCAGGGAGGAAGTGTGTGGGTGCAGGTGGGGTGGGGTAAGGGGAGTAACGGGAGGCCCCAGAAGCTGAGATCCGGGGCCCCGCCAGACGGGGAGAAGGTCCAGTCTGGGGCCCTTCATGCCACCATGCCCTCAGCCCACGAGACCCCGGAGAGTCCCTGGAGGGTGGGGCCACCTCACCTGCTTCCGCATGATGTCCGTGGCCTGCATGATGCACTTGGGCAACAGCCCGTGGCTCCGTGCCAAGATGGCCGCCTGCTCCAGGGAGACACTCAGGGTGCTCCTGCAGGGGAGGGGCGGGAGGGGCCGTCACTGCCGGGCAGGCCTCATGCGCTGCTCTCTTGCCCTGAGAACTGCCCTCAGGCGTCTTCTCCCTGAGAGGCCCCCCAACCCCCCTGTCCCCTCCCCCATCCACCCCAACACCTGCCCGTCTTTCCTCCCGACAGCCAGCACTCCCGCACACAGTAGGCGTTTTACTGCTTTACTAAGGCGTCAGCACCAGGCGGCCGTTGCTCCCTTTCGCCTGTTTTGTTCTCTGACCCTCCCAACGGCCAGCTCAGAAGAGGACCTTGGTCAATAAATACTTGTTGGAGGAAACAACTGAAGTGATTCCCTTAATCGCTTGGCCTCCCAACTTGTCGACAGGACATATCCGTTCATCCCTCACGTCTGTTCTGAACAAGTCTAGAACGTGGGCACTGCAGCCAGACCTCCTGAACTCAGAGCTCAGCCACATAATCACTCTGTGGCCTTCAGCAGGTAAGCTGCCTTCTCCAGACCGGCTTCCTCAACCGTGAGACAGGGGCAGACCAGTATCAAGGTACTATTGACCTTTGGACGGGGGACGTGGGGGGCTGTCCTGCCTCTGACCACTAGACGCCAACAGTGCCCTCCTCGCATTGGGACACGGTGCCAGGTGTCCCCTGGGGGGCAAAACCACCCTCGACTGAGAACCCCTGGAAGAGGCCATATCACACCAGCTTGCTACAAAGAGGAAATGAGTTAATCCATTGACAACGGTGCTGCCCAGTACACAGCAAGCACTCGCGACGAGCATTTATTGAGCACCTGCTGTGTGCCAGGTGCTGCTCATTGCCAGGCTAGGGCAGAGAAGCGAAACAAGTTCCTGCCCTCACAGAGCCGGCCGACACTGGAGGGGGGTAAGTGATCACGAACTGACACATGCTGCTCCCCGCAGGGATGGCGGTGGGGCTTGCCCAGGGAGGAGGAGGGGAAGGGGGGGGGGGGAGAGGGTGCAGTTTTAAACTGGGAGGTCAGGGAGTGTCTCAGAGAAGGTGACTCCCACCCCTGGGGACAAGGAGCAGGGACAACGGGCAGAAAGTGGGGAGTGTCCACGAGGCATGGAGGCCAGCTCCGCCCCAGCGAAGACCAGCGCGTTAATGGTGAACGGACGGTCAGGCAGAACCACCCTGCACAGGTGCTCATTCACACCGAGCACAGAGAACCAGAGCAGGGCACCTAGGACCACGCAGCCCTGCAGTCCCGCTGCCCAGACTGAGGCCGAGAGGGAGGGCCAAGGCTGTGGCTGGGCTCAACAGGCAGGGCCAGAACCAGGATTCAGCCCCCGGCCACCTGCCTCCCCGCTCCTGGAAGCCCATCCAGCACCCCGCCCCACCAACTCCAGGGTCACAGCAGCTCACCTCTGCATGCCCGTGCCACACATGGCGATCTGGCAAGCGCCCAGGCGGTAGCAGAGCTCCGAGGAGATGGGGATGAGGCCGGCGCCCAGGCTCCCACTGGCACCAGGTTTAGGGTGGACGAAGGACTTCATGAGGCGGCAGAGCTCATCCAGGGCATTGATGGGGCGTATCAGCTGTGAGGCGCACACACACACACACACACACACACACACACACACACACACACAGACCCCAGGGCATTGAGAGGAGGCCCTCACCAGCCTTGCTCCCCATCATCTCCCTCTCGCCCGGCTCTGTTATTGTAGCTGTCCTCCCGGCTCACCTCTCCGGGGGTTACAGCCCGGTTAACCTTCCATGACTCCTGCTCAAGGATCATCTGTGGCTCCCCACTGCCCCGCAAGCTGGTATTCAGTGTTTACACTACATTTCCAGCCTAGCCTTCCTACCTAATTCTTTCCACCTGCCCCAGTGTGCCCCTAACTAAGCCGGAAAGAAGTGTCCTCTCCTGTCCTCTCCCAACAGAGCCTTCCTGAGAAGGACCTTCCCTCCATCACCTGCACAGGCACAAAATGGTGGTTTGCCCATTCTCTCTGTGTCACCTTAATATTCTGCCAGCCAGACCATGAACTCCCAGAGGGCCGTGCCCACCAACTTCTCCGGGAGCCCCCAGCCTCCAGTCCCGAGGCCAGTACCCCAAAAGTGCCATCAAATTCGAGGTCTGCCTGCGCCTGGGACGTGGGCAAAAGGCCCGGAGCACACGCCCTCGGACGGGCAACTGTGACACGTGGGAATGTGGGCCGCACACAGACAGATCTCCCCATTTCTCAAGAAAAGCTAGAAGCCTCCATTTCACTGGAAAGCTTTTGATTTTGAAGTGCTGGCAATAGGGGCGCCCGGGTGGCTCAATCGGTTAAGCGTCCGACTTCAGCTCAGGTCATGATCTCGCGGTCCGTGAGTTCGAGCCCCGCGTTGGGCTCTGTGCTGACAGCTCGGAGCCTGGAGCCTGCCTCAGATTCTGTGTCTCCCTGTCTCTCTGCCCCTCCCCTGCTCATGCTCTCTCTCTCTCTCTGTCTCAAAAATAAATAAACATTAAAAAAAAATTTTAAATGCTGGCAACAAATTTCAATCAAACAAGAAGACGACCACACGGCCACATCTGGTGGGGGCAGCTGCTGCAGAGACATGCTTGGGTAAACAAGGAAGAGAAGACAGGCACAGGTGCACCCATGCCAGCAGGGGGAGAAACATCTATGGAATTCCGAGGTGGGTGGGGAGGAAGCTAGAACTAGAACGGGGAAGGAGTTCTCCCGGGAGGGATATCCCTGGAGGGGGGACTACAGAGGCCTCAGGAGCTTCTCTGCCAGGATTCATGCTGGGCTGGGACCCTGGGCCCCATCTGCTGCACCTTGACCCTGACAGCAGCCCGCAGCCCGGCCCAAGCTCCGCAGCAGGGTGAGGGAAGGCGGGGCACACCTGGTCTATCTTCACCGCCGTCGTGCTGGCATCCGTGGGCAGGTTAGACCGTTCCAGGTAAAATGCCCTGAGAGAGAAAGATCGGGGTGGTGGTGAGGGCGGGGCCCCTACCCTACTGCGGCTGCTGCCCCTCTGTTCCCCCAAAGACTCACACTGGGAGCGCCTTACACGGCTCTCCCGGTCCGGCCACCTGCTCTTCCAGCAGTGGGGGGTGGGGACAACAGGGGCCTCCTGCGTACTCCCGCCCCCCGACAGGCACTCCTCAAATGCCACCTCTCCCTGCCTGCTGTCACAATCAGCACCCTGCCTCCCTACCGTCTATCCCCTTGTCCTACTGAGTCTCTCCTCTGAGCACTTCTCATCACTTAGCACATTACAGTGCTCTTCGTTTACTGGTTTATTGCCCCTCTCCCCCTCTAGAAACAGGGCTCAGCCAAGTTTTTTCTGTGAAGGGTCAGAACAGTGTTTCAGGCTGTGTGGACCAGACTGTCTCCATCAAGATGCTGCTCAGATCTGCTGCTGTAGCACAGAAGCAGCCACGGACAGTACAGACGCAAAGGAACGTGGCTGTGTGCTAATAAAACTTTATTGACAACGCAGGGCAACTGCTGCTCTAGAATCTGTGCTCCGTGAAGAACAGGCTTTGTTTGGCCACTGCGGTCTCCTGAGCAAGCATCCAGAACAGAGCCTGGCCCACAAAAGCTCTCGATTAACGCGTGCTGAATAAAGGAAGGGATGGATATGGGAATGCTCTTGGAGGCAATGTTTCAAATATTCAACAAATGGGGGCGCCTGGGTGGCTCAGTCGTTTGCGTGTCCAACTTCGGCTCAGGTCGTGATCTCACAGTTAAGTGGGTTTGAGCCCCGAGTCAGGCTCTGTGCTGACAGCTCGGAGCCTAGAGCCTGCTTCAGATTCTGTGTCTCCCTCTCTCTCTGTCCCTCCTGTGCTTGCACGCGCACTCTTTCTCTCTCTCTCAAAAATAAACATTACAAAATATATATATATTCAACAAATGGCACAAGACGGACTGATGGCTTTGACCAATCCAAAGAGACACCAGTTGTAATAATACAGCTGGATGTTTTCCCTGAACAAGCAAACGAAAGCGTCACTCTCCCGTCTCCAGATGGTGAAGCTGGGCCCCGAGACAGTAAATCCCGATCTCCTGATTTTCAATCTACCTTCTCTACAGGGGAAGAAGGTGAGGCAGAATTAGGAAGGAGCCGGGCTGGCGGGGTGGTGGTGAGAGCTGCCTCCCTGGGCCGGAAGCTTCCTTCTGGCAGATGTGGCCCCTGCTCTCCGCTTCTCTCTGGGGGTTTCTTTTGAGCAGGGCCAAGGCCCTGGGGCTCACCTACTTCCTCCCAGGCTCAAGAAGGCCAGGACCCCTGTTCCAACTCCCACCCCACAGAGAACGGAATACACAGCTCCTCTCAATTGGAAGAATCTGCTTTGAAGGGAAACAGACCCAGTTCAAAGCTCAGCTCAGCCACTGTCTACCAGTGCGACCTTGAGCAAGCTGGGTATGCTCTCGGGGCCTCAGTCTCCTCATCTGTGAAGTGGCCAGAATGGCCTCCTGTGACTTCTGGGAGAATCTGCACAGCCCGTGTACACAGAGGGCCTAGCAGACAGCAGGTGCTTAAGAAAGGGTGTTTTGTGCGCTCCCACACTGGGGACCTGCCCGGCCTTACGTGCTAATGCCTGCCCTGCCACGGCAGCGCCCAGACTCCTGTCCCCAGCATGCAGCCCAGGCAGATACCTACCTGAGTTTGCGGTAATACTGTTGCACCTTCTCCAGGGACTGGGCGTTGATCTCCTGCTGCAAATCTTCTACAGCCTGGCTGCCTGGAGGGGGTGGCCCCTCCATATTCTCCAGAGCTATGAAGGAAAAAGCAGAAGAGCAGGTGGCCGGGTCCCGGTGTGCTCAGAGGCCTCGGCTCCCCCCGCCGGGCCCCACCCGGCACCCCACAACTCACCCTTCGTGAACAGCACGGTGTGCAGCCTCAGGCTGCCTCCGCCCTCCAAGCGGGAGGGCAGCTTGGAGAAATGGTAGCTGTCGAGGAAGAAGACGACCTTCAGCGCCTGCCGGCTGCCCTCGATGTGGTGGAAGACGTTGGTGTCTGTGGGAGGGCACAGTGGGACAGGGCGGCTCACTCCCTGGGCCTGGGGGGAGCCCCGCTCTCCCTTCGCCGGGCAGAGTGGCGTCCCCGCACGTCCCCGCTCTCACCACCTCCGCGGAGTAGCCTCGGAATCTCTTGGCTCCCACCTTCGGGGAGGCATCCTGGGAGCTCCCTGCCTGCCCGCCCTAGAGCACTGGTCGGCCCTCCCTGCCCTCCCTCCAGCGCTGGCCTCGGACAGCCCCGCCCTCCCGCACCCAGGAGAGGAGCCTCTGGCTTCTTTCCGCCTCCTTCCGCAGGTCCTGGTTTCCACCGCTTCGTTCTTAGACCGGGCGCGGGTTCTGCCCCCCTGGGGAGCGGCCAGGGTCCCCGGAGCTTCACCGCACTCCTTGTAGCCCTGACCTGGGAGCCCAGGGCCTCTACCTGGCAAGACCTACCCTCGAACAGGACCTGCATCTTATCTGCACCCATAAGGAAGAGTTTATGGCAGGAGTGGCAAAATTACGGCATTCACACCCCATCCTGCAAAATCACTAACCGGTCAACAGTTGCCCCTGAGCCCAACTCTGCCTGTGGACAGGCAGCCACTGCCAGTCAATTCCAGTTGGTACCTCAGAAGACACTTGCTGTCCATCTAGACTCCGGTCTGTGCATTTTGAACAGGATGACATCAGCCCCAAGGAGGTGGAAATTGATTCATGGATGGATGGATGGATGGATGGATGGATGTGTGGACAAATAGATGGATGGGTGGGTGGGTAGATGGGAAGATGGATAGGTAGATGGCATGGATGGATGTGTGGATGGATGGATGTGTGGATGGATAGATGGGTGGATTGGGTAGATGGATGGATGGACGGATTGGATGAATGGGTGGATGGATGGGCTGGCTGGCTGGTTGGGTGGGTGAGTGGACAGAGAGATGGGAGGATGGGATGGGATGGATGGATGGATGGATGGATGGATGGATG